CAGCCTGGATCCGGCCTTGGCCTCAGCTCCCCTCACTAAGTTACATCCCTTTCTCCCCTCGGGATGTACCCAGTGCGACTGTCAACTTGCCACCTTCCCCGCAGCCTCTGTAGTTCTGCTTTCTGTTCTTTCCCTGTGTCTGTCCCCACACCGCAGCCAGAACACCTTCCTTCCTTCTTTTCTTCCTGCGTCCTGCTGAGGTCTTCCCAGTGGTTCCCTGCATCCCATGACCAGCTCTGCAAGAGGAGAAATGGGCAGGGCCCAGTGGCACAGAGCAGAGCCTCCAGGGTGGAATCAGGCCAGAGCTGAAGCTGTGTGCTGACACGCAGCTGTGGAGTGCATCCCTCAGTGCCCAATGGCTGGGACACCGCCAAAGGGCCCCACAGTTTCTGATGCTCTGGATGACACCCCGTCCCAGAGGCTGAATTCATACCCTCTCCCTCAAGCTCTCAACAGAGTCCTTTACTGTCCTTTCAGCCATCCTTTTCCATTCCCAAGACCCCCCGTCTGGTTCAGCCTCTGTCTCTTCACACCTGGGCTACTCAAACACCTTTCCCGTCCGCCTCCCCATCTCCAGCTTGTTACTGGAACCTGCAGTGCCCACTGTGGCTAGCGCATCCCCTTGGCTGGCAACGATCCTGGCTTTGTCTATCTGTTGGCATATTTTCCTGTGACTGTCCAGTGCAACTAGTCCATCTATGCAAGTCTTGTAGATGCCTCCTTCTATCCACTGGCTAAGCCGTACTTCTGGGACAGATACACAAGACCCTGTCAACTTCGTTCTCTTGCCCAAGTCCCACTCTTCCTTCAAGGCTCATATAACCTCTCAGCCCTCACTGAGTGCAGCCATCTCCAAACTCTCCCAGTGCCTGGAATTATGACCAGTTGCTGGGGCATTCACTGGGAAATTTACACCACCTGGACTGTCCTCAATCCAATACATGATTGTTTCTCCAGACACGATATTTTATTTCCGTTGTAGAGGCTGACTCAATACGATCTTGGACTTTGGTGTGGTTTAGGCCTGGGTTGGAATCCTGGCTTTTCCCCCTAAGCATTGAACTTAGAAAAGTTTTGTAATTTCGACAAGCCTCTGATTCCTGATCTAGAGATAAGAATACCTATCCTTCAGGTTATTGTGAGAATTAGAGAAAGTAAGTTCATAGTAATAATCCTCATTCATTGGGCCCTGACTCTGTGTCAAATACTCTTCTAAGTACTTTCCATGTGTTAATTCATTTCATTCTCTCAAAACCCCATGATATAGGTACTACCAGTAATGCCCATTTTAGTGATGAGAAAAATTGAGGCCCAGAGATTAAGCAGTTTGCCTAAGGTCACACTGCTAGCAAATGACAGAATCAGGGTTTTGAGCAAGGCAAAGCTCAAAGCCCTGCACATCTTGGCCTGGAGCAGATGCTGAGACAGGGGCAGGCCATCTGGGCCATTCTAACATGTCTCCTTGTGCCAGATGCTGTGCCCACAGGTTGGGAGGGCCACATCGACCACCAAGCCTGGGCCAGGCAAGGGGAGGATGTGTGGCATGGGGTTATGACACAATAAATAGAGCATAACCCCACACCAGGTACACAGTATGACAGGAAAGGCTCTCCCTGACAAGGAGGTCCAACCAGCATCTCAGCTCCCTGGCAGAGGCATGCAATCCCACACCCCAAATTAACCCCCTGGCCCACACTCAACTTGAACTTACCCTCCTGAAAGTTTTATTCACTACGCTAGAGGCTTTCTTGGATCCATTTCCTTGTGGTAGCCATACTGCATGGTGGCTATTAGAGTGAAATAGGATTAGTATCATTTTGAGGGTTGATTAAGACACAGTCAATACCCAAGACAACAATGAGTAACATTAGCACAGCACTGAATGTGTGTCAGCCTTGAGAAGCACTTCACATGTACTGCATTAATTGAACCTCACAAAAGCATGAGGCAGGCACTATTCTTATCCTTGTTTTTACAGGCAAAGAAGCTGAGCTTTAAACAATCAAAGTACTGATTCATTGCCAAACAGGTAGTAAAGAGCAGAGCCAGGATTTGAACCCAGGGATCCTGGTTCTAAAACCACCACCTGCACACTTTGGGAGGCTCCCTGAGATGCTGGAAGACCACCCACTACTTGGATCTAGTACTTCGGATTGTTACACTTTTCAGCCTGGGCAATGGTTTGCTGGGTTGTGACTTTATGAGTGTGATGCTGTGAACTGCCTGTAGTGCCAGAAGATGGATGTAGCTGAGGATGAGGGGTGGGTGCCAATCAAATAATCTCTACCACAAGATGCTTCCCTCTCTCTTCTGCCTTGATGTACCACGATGCCTGGATTGGGCCATTCTTGTTTCTCCTAGGTTTTATCTGAATGCTGGAGTGGAAGGCCAGGTGGTTCACATGAGATTTCAGCTGCAGGAGCTGAATACTGATAGCCTGGCCTCCAATCCAGCCCCCAGACTCACCAGCCATGTGCTCAGACAGGTTTTGCAACCTCTCTTAGCCCCAGTTTCCTTGACTGTAAAATGAGATAATAATACTACCACATAGTACTTTTTCTAGGATAAATGAAGAAATACATTTATAACACTTTGCCTAACACCCAACAAATAAGAAGTATTCAGTAATGGAACCTCTTATTATTATCCTCATTTTCACTGATTCAACTCATTTATTGGTTTATGTTTTTATTAGTGCATAGATTACAAATGCAAAATGCCATCCAGGTCCAAAGATAAATAGGTCTTGCGGTCTTACTTTTCAGTACAAAGAGACACAAATGACTTAGTCACAGCACAGAGCAGAATGAAGTACACGTGACATCAGGTGCCAGTAGCATTTAAGAGGGCCCAGAGGAAGGAGTGATGGGTTATGACCAGAGAGACTGGGGAGGACCTTATGGAGGAAGGATGATGGAGAGTTCCATGGAAGAAGGAAGATGGAGTAGGGGAGCAGTGTGAGCAGAGCAGAGAGCTGCCAAAAGAGCAGGACGGAGGAACAAGCTGTTGGTTTTACCGCAGGTGAGCGTGGAAGACCCTGCTGCAAGAGGAGTCAATGGAGGGACAGCAGGTGCAGGCGTCCGAATGTGTTGACACAGAAGCTTGACTTTATTCCATAGGGAGCCACTGATAATTCTTGAGGAAAGGAAGAGCATGACCCAACCCTTATTTTAAGAAAACAACTAGAAACAGTTGGAAGGATGACTTGGTGAGGAAAGAAAATGGAGACAGGAAGACGAGTTGGATGACTGCTGCAACTACTCTCACCAGCAGCTGATCATAAATAGACCCTGACTCACTGAGAAAAGCTGACCAAAGCGAGGAAGTGTGTTTTATAAATGCATTTCGTAAAGGTTTCTATTTGAAGTGGTTTAAACAGAAGCATCTTGCTGCCTTAAGTTCTGACCTTCAGTTATCCCCAAAGTTAAGGTATTAGAATCTTATTCCCCTACTATGCCTGTACTGACATGTTGGGAAGAGGACTTATTCACTTATTCTTTAGTTTATTGGCAAACATAATGGTTTCAATACACTGTGATTTTGTATAAGTCAACTCAGAGAATAATGTCATAAGAATTATTTTCTGTTAATGTCAAAGTTTGACCCACACTGGACTTGTAGAATGAAGTTTCTATTTAGTGCCTGTCATATTTTTCCCAAGAGAGGGCGCTGTTGCTGCCGCTGCTAATCTGGTCACCCTGATCCAAAGACCTCCTTCCTGCCCCCACTTCACCTCCACAGTTCTTTTTTCCTTGTGCCTCTTGGAATCCCCCTGGAGCTGGAGTCAGTGGTCTGCTTGGAATCCCCCTGGAGCTGGAGTCAGTGGTCTGCTTGGAATCCCCCTGGAGCTGGAGTCAGTTTCTGGGGGACTCTGGGGCCATCCACCAGGTCCTCTGGCAGTGGTCGCTCAGTGGGATGGGAGGGGAGCTGGGACCCTCTATGGTGGAGTCATCAGAACCACTCTGCCCTCTGAGCCTGTGTCTGGTTGATCTTCTACACAGCAGAGTGAACCGTAATTAGCCTCTCAGGTCAGTTTATGTGATGGGATTGATGCTAAGCTTCTCACACTCTTAATGTGTTTTAGAGGAAAAGGGGTTAGTCTCCCTGGTTGTCATAATCCAGACCTATTTTATGGTTCAAGATCATAAGCTACTTAAGACCTGTCACATCTATTTTTTATAGCTCCTGTGTAGCCTAGGACAGTGCCTGCACCCTGGAGCTCAAAGACAGCGAGGCAGCCTGGCACTGGGGTGCAGAGCATGAGCCTGGAAGTCAATCAGCCTGCAGGGCTCAACTTCTGGCTCCACTGCCATTTACTGTCTGACCTTGGGCTCATGGCTTATTTTCTCTAGGCCTCAGTTTCCTCATAAGGTTTTCGAGAGAGCTAAGTGCATACAATGCTCTGATAATATGGCCTGA